AGGTATTAGGCTCTTATCTTTTAATTTTTATAATTTATTTTTTTAATGCCCATATGGATTAGATTTTTATTATTTGAGTTTTATTTTATGTATTGAATCTAGGATAAAATTATTATGTCCCCATTAATTAATTATTTTTTAAAATCTAGGGAGGTGGCCAATTAAAAGAATAAGAATCCTTATGTTTTGTGGATTCTTGTCTTTTAGGAAATTTTTTTAACGAGTCCTTCTAAAATATAGATCCATATTTATTTGGACTAAGTAAGAATAAGTCCTAATTAAGTATGAGTTATATAAGTCCATTCTATTTAGGAGAGTGAGGTCCGATCTAGGAAGGAGAAATTATGCCCTAACCAAAACTCCTAGGGCTTATGATCGAGTATTTAAACAAATTTTTATGCACCCTTATAAAAGCTTTTGATCGAAATATTCAGTAAGCTTTCCGTCGATTTTGGAAGTAATAAATTAGAATCATTACTTTTAACTATTCAAGTATTTTCCTTGGCTTGAACTAAACTAGGATTACTTGGACTACATCATTAGAGTAATCGACAAAGCGGGGTTTAGATCGTTGTATGCAAGAGCTTGAGGTTGTGATTTCAAGACTTTTGGAGTGTTATTCCAAAAGTTCCTTTTACTCTTTCTTGATTTGGAAACTTGGACTAGTTTTAGGGTTGATTAATGAGACATGTACAATTTTATAATAATGATAGTTTGACTTGCTTGAACTAGCCAATATAATTACTAAAACTTGCTCTTAGAATACCTATCCGTTAGAGGAGCTAGGATTATCTATTAAGGCTAAAATTTGGCGGAGACATTCTACCGGACCTCTTGTGGTTGTGTATAAAATTTAGGATTATTTAGACTTGATTTGAAGGGTGTATGAATTTAAATGCCTTACTGGAATTTCGGACAATGTAGAAACAGATTAGGAGACAGATTAGGACGCGAAGTTCATTTGACCTAAATAAGGTGCTAGAGAACTTAGTTTAATCCAATTTTTTGTGTGCATCTACTATTATATGTTAGGTAGATCGTGATAAATTTTTAGCTCATTTTGGATATGGATGAGAACTAGGTGGGTTGATTAGGTGAGTTATTTGATAAATATGTTTTGTGTTTGGAATTGAGTGAGAATTTGATTATATGTGAACTCACCGCATTACCGCTATGTTTATTGAGATAAAACAACCTATCGAGGATTCTATCTCGTGATTGTTGATAGAGTTTATGTACGATTTTGAGGCATCAAGTTGTATCGACATTAGAATAACTTGTTTTATAAAAATTTGTCAATAAATCAATATTTATCAAACTATAACCATTATACGGTCGGTCTAGGTCTAGGTTAGAGCCACTTCATTTAACAATTATAATTTGAGTATAATTATCTCATCATAAGGAATCATGACATTAATGTAATACATTTTTATGATGTAGTTTAAGTAATACTGGATTAACTATTTTGAAGGAATCTATTAACAAAAAGAAAGAGAAAGAGAGGATTTCACTTCTAGATAGTTTTCTCACTTTAAATTCACTTCCTTTGTAATTCATTTGTCATGTTAGCAGTTCAAATAATTATTAGTGCCGACTTAGCACAAGATCAATAATAGAAAGTAGGTTTGATATGATAATGATGTGAAACTACTCTCCTTAGGCGAGTATCCCAACTGTAGATTGGAAATTAAACAAATCATCCCAAATGGCATGCATATGCGACTTAATTTGGCCATGAAAACTACCAGTAAACAATAAAGTCAACCTATTGAAACCGGCTAAACAATTATTTACATGAAGTAGGTTTCACTTAAATATATAATAATAGACTAAATTATTTCCTACTATCTTTAATGTTATATATAGAATAATAGACTGAATTAATTAAATAGCATTCCATCCACCATATCATAGAGGTCATTGACTTGCATCAAAGTACGTTGCATGCTAACGAACTAGCTTCTACGTTATGAAGCATAATTGAGCCTCTGTACTTGCGCAATACATATGCTTGTTAAGCATCACATGATGGTAATTAACTCTCCTCTTCAAACAGCCTTTCCTATTTGATTTTCAACTATTTTGGTGATGAAAAAGTTTGTATCAAATTTTTTCCTGACCATGCAAAACACCTAGAAGGTCACAACTTCTTGATCTAGTCACCATGTGTAAATGGGATTGGCCCTATTTTTCTTGCTTTAAAGATGGTGACGGTCGGCATAGTCTGCCTAAAGTTGAAAGGGAAAGTCAATATCATGTACTTGCACAGAAACTCGAAACTTTTGGAGAGATTATTTTCCATTGTTTCCACTGTGTCACAACCAACTTTATCTTTTTGTTTCTGCTAAAAGAGTACCATTTGGTCAGTGCTTCGTCATCCTCTTTTTTCCTTTTTTTTTTTTTTTTTTTTTGGTACCTGACCTAATTTCTGGTATCAATCAATCTAAACAAGCAAATGGGGTCACTAGAATACTAATAGTTTTCTATAATTTTGGTTTACAAAACTTAATTTTTATGAGCAAAAATTATCTCGAAAATATCACTTAACATTGTTATTTTGATATAAAAATAAAAACCTAGATAAACCCTTTTTTCTTTTAATTTATATCATTCAAATAAGCTTTTTATGCACCGGTATGAAATCTTTTTTCGATCCAGTCTGAAGCACAGCATGCATTCTGATTAATAAAGTATAAAGGCAATAATTACATCCAAATCAAATTGTCACAAAAGCTGGGACCAAGCTCATTTCATTTTTGATTTCCCATTAAATTCATGATTAACAATTCGCGCGTTTATTTCTTTCCCGCTGAAAAAATCAACGCTGTATTGCTTAACCATTGAAGGGGAAATTACGTCCTATTAGAAATATTGACTTGAAACACGCGTATTTAGCAGCAGCTGACCCATGACCAATTAGGACAGGTCAGAGAAACCTAAAACTAAACTCACAGCGATCACAACAATTTCCTCCCTCACAGACCAATAAAGTTGCAAGAATCGGTCACGTGGTTTGCAGTGACCAGTCAACCAACCAATAGAGAAAGGCTGTGAGTTTAGGAAAAGGGCAGAGGAGGTATGGAACTTTCGTTGTCAAAGCTGTCAATTATAAAATGCAGTAAAAGAGACCGTATTATTGTATGAAAAGAAAGTGGGACCCTATAGTAATGGTTACATCTGCTGATTATTAAATGTCAGCCATTGACGCTGATTTTCTGAAAACACTGACTTTCGGCTCAATTCCCAATTCTCTTAGCTATTCCCTCTCTCTCACGTTCGATGGTTGTGCGTGTTAATAAGTGTCCGTTTAACGCGCTACTTTTTATTTTCGTTGAACCCGCCATTTTCGGTTTTTTTTTTGTTTTTCAAATCCAAAATCAATTTTGAATTAGAAAATTTTAAATTTGAGGACTTAATTTTTTTTAATTATAAAAGATGATTGTATTATACAGACTAACTATGAATCCCAACCCGATAGGAGACGTGGAGCTCTTAAATTATTTGAAATTTGAGTTATTATGTTGATATTTAGATTCATCTAAAATATTTTATATATTTTGCTATTTATTCAATCATAAAAAATGATGTAGTTATTCATAATAAATATTATAAATGTATAATGAAGTAATTATATACTTTTATAATTAGATATGATATTTCAGTTTTTTTTTTCATTTGTGTTAATTTAAAAGATGTGTGTTAATTCTAATGAAAATATTTAGTTTTGATAAAAATATTTTTAATTTCATAAAACTTTAAATTAATTTCTATTTGTGTTATCGAATAAAATAAAATAGAAAAATACTCTCTAATCTTTTGCTTTAGAAGATAATAGTCATATTTAGTTCACTTTTTTTATAAAAAAACTCTCTTTTAGACTGATCATTTTAAATTAAAACAAGTTAAATTAGAGTCTTCTCTTTTATTGATGAACTATAACGTTACAATGCTCTTTAAAAAAAAAAGGTACAAATAAATGGGTCTAAAATAAAAATAAATATTATAAAGCTAAAACTATGAAATAAAATTCTAAAAAAAGCCATTAATGTGTGAGTTTTTGTGTTTTTTTTTTAAATATTTTTATTATTCTATCCATTTATGTTACATTCATTTAAATCAAGACATATATACTAATTAACAATAACATATTAAATTAATACAATTTTATTTGCATTTCAATAATATGTATAATATTCGATAACAAAACCTACAAATTGTACTATTCAATTCTCATTATACATATAAAATTAGAGCAACATGACGTTTTTAATTCACAATTAGTTTTTTAATACATAATTATAGTTATATCATTATTTGTTACTATAAATAGCACTTCTTTACTTTATATCACTATCAATTATTCATCAGGAATTTGATTGCTAAAATAATGTTCCTTTGACTTTAATTTTTTTTGTGCATTTAGATTTTGTTTTAATATGTTTGTAAAGTTGATAGAAACAAAATTATTTTAATTTTTTTCTTTCCATAACAATTCACATAATAGTAATATTTACTTGGAATTGACTTTTGATGGAAATCATATATTTTAAAAATAAAAATTCATAAATAATCCAACTATACCTGAAATACAAATTTAAAAATGGTAATCCAACTATACCTGAAATACAAATTTAAAAATGGTACAATAACCCAACTACATTTTAAATTACAAAATTTAAAGGAAACTAAAAAGAAAAAAAATATTTACTAAAATCTGATCAGGGGATAGCCCGAGAGAAGCGAGTGATACCCACTCTAAGAAACCTGCATCTAAATATCCAAGCTCACCATTCCCAACACCAAAACATTGCAAGCATTTCTTCTCACACTCTCTTTGCTCCGTCGTTAAACAACACTGCCTCCTAGCCACCTCCACCACTGCTACAACCCATCAGTACCCTCTTCTCTTTCTCTCTCTACCTTCTAAAAAGCAAGCCAAAAAAGAAACCTTAAAAACCCTATTTTCCTCCTTTTTCTTTCATATCTATCAACTCACCATGAAAATACCAGAAAACGACCCCATAGCTCTCTCAAACAACCTTTTACACTCCCTTTTAGACCAACAAATCCCATCAATACAATCTTTCAGAGGCAAATGGGGTTTGATAAAATCCAAACTCGCTGATCTCCAAACCCAACTCGCTGATTTTTCCGAGTTCCAAACTTCACTCACTAACCCACTCTCTCTTGATCTCCTTCACTCTATTTCACAAACTCTAAATGATGCTCTCCTTTTAGCTGAAAAATGTCAAGATACAAGCTTGACTGAAGGTAAGCTTAAAACTCAAAGCGATATTGATTCAATTTTAGCTAAATTGAATCAAAATGTGAAAGATTGTGAGATTTTGACCAAAAGTGGGGTCCTTCAAGATGGGATTTTATCTGGGTCCGGCTCAAAAAGAGAGCTTGTTAGAGCTGAGTTTAGGAATTTGATAACTCGGTTGCAAATAGGGAGTCCTGAGTCGAAGAACGCGGCTATGGACTCGGTTCTGAGTTTGATTCAGGAGGATGATAAGAATGTAATGATTGCTGTTGCACAAGGTATTGTGCCTGTTCTTGTTAGATTACTTGATTGTAATAGTTGTTTTGATATTAAAGAGAAGAGTGTAGCTGCAATTTCAAGAATTTCAATGGTGGATAGTAGTAAGCATGTTTTGATAGCAGAAGGGTTGTTGCTTTTGAATCAATTGATTAGGACTCTTGAATCAGGAAGTGGGTTTGCTAAAGAAAAAGCTTGTGCTGCACTTCAAGCTTTAAGCTTTTCGAGAGAGAATGCAAGGGCAGTTGGGTCTAGAGGTGGAATTTGTTCATTATTGGAGATTTGTCAAGCTGGAACACCTAGTTCACAGGGTCTTGCAAGTGGGGTTATGAGGAATTTGGCTGTGTTTGAGGAGATTAGAGAGAATTTTATAGAAGAGAATGCTGTTTTTGTTCTTATTGGGCTTGCAGCTTCTGGAACTGCATTAGCTCAAGAAAATGCAATTGGTTGTTTGTGTAATTTGATTAAGGATGATGAAAATTTGAAGCTTTTGATTGTTAAAGAAGGGGTTATTGAGTGTTTGAGGAATTTTTGGGATTCATGTCCTCCGGTAAGGAGTCTTGAAGTTGCTGTTGAATTGATCAGGGAGTTGGCATCCAACCAAGCTATTGCGGGAGGGCTTGTTTCTGATGGGTTTGTTGTTAGGCTCGCAGGGGTGTTGAATTGTGGGGTTTTGGGTGTGAGAATTGCAACTGCTAGAGTTGTTTTTGAGCTTGGTTTTAACACAAAAACAAGGAAAGAAATTGGTGAATTGGGGTGCATTAGTCCATTGATTAAAATGTTGGATGGCAAGGCTGTTGAAGAGAAGGAAGCAGCAGCAAAAGCATTGTCATTGCTTGTTTTGTATGGTGGTAATAGGAGAATTTTTAGAAAGACTGAGGGTGGAATTGTGAGTACAGTTCAGCTATTGGATCCTTTGATACAGAATATGGATAAGAAATACCCTGTTTCTATATTGGCCTCACTTGTACATTCTAAGAAGTGTAGGAAACAAATGATTGCCGCTGGTGCCAGTGTGCACTTGAAGAAACTTGTGGAGATGGATGTTGAAGGATCTAAGAAGCTCTTGGATGGTCTTGGCCGGGGTAAGATTTGGGGTGTTTTTGCCAGGCCCTAGCATGGACATAATTCTTCCATTGGTTCTTGGAACTTGAATTTGAGGATGGCTCGTTAATCTGTATGTACATTGTTTGTGTTTACTTTTACTCTTGTTCTGTGTTCGCTTTTTTTTTTCCCCTTCTTTTTGTTCATATGATTGTTAGGTTGCTTTAGGAGTAAAGAGTTTTTAGCTTAGTTTCCTCTGAAAACCCTCTTATTTGCAGAGAGGAGATCATGGTTTGTTAACCTAACGACACTGGAGTTCATGTTTATCCGACACTGAATGATAGTTTGTAATGTGTTTGAGATCATACCTCTGCTATACAGCACTTATTGAAAATGTTGGTTTCTCATGACAGCTAAATGCAAATCATTAATGATTAAGTCAGGGTTAATTTGTATTGATTACACAAGGCAGTACCTTTTAGTCTATTTTCTGCTGGTGAGAAGAGACTGCATTTTCCATATAATATCTATTTTCTGCTGCTTTGGATGTTGTGAGTAACCCACAGTTTTCTTAAATAAAGATTGTTGTCAAGTTCCTTGTTTTATACGGATGTTTAGCATTCATTTCTTCTCTCCTTCATGCTGGTTAATTTTTCTTGTGGTTGTTGGGTTCTGTATTCTTAAAACTTTTCTACAGTTTGATATAGGTCTCTTTATTGATGTATGTGGATATGGCATTTATTCCAGGACCAGACTCAACTCCTTGCACTCGTGTTGATGTTAACTTGAATGGTTAATCAACCTTACCGGCAACCTTAGAGTGCCATAGGGTTCCAGAATGATTTTCTTCATAGCTATTCCTCATTTATTTTCATATATCAGTGATTGAGATAGTTCCAATTATTTTAGACTAGTTTAAGTAGGTTGATGGATATTGGCTGGATGATTTCCGTATAGTAGTGGGTCTAAGCCATGTGCATTTGTTCTTGACCATGTGCATTTGTTCTATGCTATACCTATTGCACTCTTGTGTTGGCAGTTACCTTAACAGGTAAGCTCTGAGGACCTACCAAAATTTGTTTGCATTTGCGAGTGAGCCATTGCATAGTTTAAGACTTTCAGCCTACTTTAGACTTTACCGTCTTTGATGGAGAAAATGAGCACAAGTAACAACTCTACGCTCTGTTGCAGTGCGAATTCCCTTGTTGGATTTTGTGGTCCATGATCATATATATATATATTTTTTATACTTCTGTTTTTCAATGAAGTCTTTTCTGAATGCCAAATTGTTCATATACCCTTCTACAGTTCTACTCAAGGAAGGGGGAAAGGGTCTATAAACTGCTGGTATGTTTGTGTTATTTAAATAAACGACATTTCAAAATGAAAGGTTAAGCAATTTGGTTGTCAGTCTTGAACCAAGGAAGATACTGAGTCCACGGTCCACCCCATGAAAGGAGGGAAATGAGAGATGAGAGGTTAGCTGATTTAAGGGTCTTGCACCCAGGAAACAGGAAAGATTTTACTAAGGTGAAATGAAAACCCTTGGTGGGATAAAATGGTCTTGCTTGCTTCCATTAGCTTTCGTAGCAACCGATTCATGAATTGTAGGTTCACATTGGAATGGATGTGCTTTCAAAAGTCCATGACAGCTCCGCAAAAATAACATACAGTAAACCCAAACTTGCCTAAAAAACTTTCAGTTTTTTCCGCAGAGCTCTCTCAGTATCCTACGTAGTTACCAATACAATTTACTATTGCATTTCTGAGCTGGCACCCAAAAGCATAAGCAACGAAACAATTTTGTTTGCTACGATGGGCAGGACAATAGAATTAATGTGTGCATTCTATGGTCGTGGTCTTGAGAAACAACAAGAGAAGCCCATAATCAAGGGTGCAGAGGACTCAAGTGAGGTCCTAGGAATTTTATAATTCTCATTGCTAACCCATTTTTGTAGATGAACTTTTAGACCCCATCCAATTGGGCTCTATTGTCTTACAGGTTTTTCAGCACCCAACTTTTCGTTCATATTTCATATGTAAGAAAGAGTGGCTTGAATATATATATATATAAACCTAGAAGAACTCAACTTTTCATTATTTATTCCCTTTAGCTACTGACACATATCTCTATTCATTGAAGCCTTTTTTTTTTTTTTTCCTTCTTCTTCCTTGCGTAGTCATATGCAAATCATACAACTTTTTAGGTTTTGCTCCCTAATATTTCCGAACCTTTATTTTGATCAAGGTTTTTTATTTTTGGGCTGGTCAGAACCATGGGCTGGAGAATCAGGCCCAAGTGAGGGTAGCCTCGTGTGCAGCTTGCAGAAGAAGGCCCAGGCACACGGGGCTAGCCACGCGTTCAGGCCTGACCAAGTAGGCCTAGACAGGCTAACGTGGCCCAGGCACACGGGGCTAATATTTCCGAACTTTTATTTTGATCCAGGTTTTTATATTTTTTTATCATATATATTATATTTTTTAAGATTTTAGATTGAATATATATATATCAAAGTATATTACTCTTATTGTTTAAAATATATTTCTTCAATTTATCGTTTCTTATCAAAATTCTTACAAATTTAATTTTTTGATATAATTTTATTTTTTAATAAATGTGGTTTATATATATATATATATGGATTTTGAAATAAAAATTTAGAATGTGATTATTTTATAATTTTTAATATATTATTATAATTTATATAATGGATTTTTATGATTTTTAAATGAAAGTAGCGTAATTATATATATATATATATATATATATAGAGAGAGAGAGAGAGAGAGAGAGAGAGAGAGAGAGAGAGAGAGAGTTTTTTTTTTTTTTTTATATATATATAATCAAATTTTATCAGAACCAATTTTGTAGTAGTTTTTATTTTAATCTTTTGATTTCAATAGATTCCATGCAACTTAGGCGGTATATATATATATATATATATATATATATATATATATATATATATATATATATATATATATATATATATATAGTTTTGTTGAAAATTAAGTATGTGCACACATTACATAAATATTTGTTATTTATTCTTTTTTTTATGTTCTAAAATCAATATTTTTTATATAAAATAATTGAAATAATGTTTTGAAAAAGCCTCATAATTATTGAAATATATTTTTTCATGCTAATATATATATATCAAACGATTTTGTTTAACAAATAGATTTGATTTATATTAATTATCGAAAATAAGACTTGTGCATGCACTGCATTATACAAATTGTTGACTTTATGCATATAATGATTGTCCAACTGCAATATAACATGGATATACAACTAGTTTCTACTATAGAAAAAGTACATGATATGTACATTCGAAATGTTAACCTTTTATATATGTAATAGCTGTCTAACCGTAATATAACATATATATCCAACTAGTTTCTACTAAGGAAAAAGTACATGATGTGCACGTTCGATTTGTAGTTCCTAATTTAAAGGAAAAATCTTTATAGTCGAGAAAGAATCAAAATGATAAAATATTAAATACACTAGAGATGAGATAAGGGTTATCTTGGTTTAGTTGTTGCTTGCCTTGATAAAACTTTCATCTGTTAGTTGCGGACATGCCTGTCCTACACTTTTTAACCCTCTCTCTCAACAATAACAAAATCCTCATACTTCCTGCTGCAAACGTATGAGAAGTGCATGCTGCCCAAAATCCAGTTTGTTCGCAAATGAAATGAGGATCTCACTTTTATGTGCCCGAGGTGGGCACCTCCATGTGTGTCCCGTATATGCTCGTGTGGGTGAGATCACAACAACTGTCTATGAGCAGATTTCCCCACACCATTTTGCTAATTAAATGTGTTAAGGCTTGATTGTATTAGTAACCAAACTCATGGAGTTCGCCTTAGTTAGGTTAAAGTCATAAACACACACAAAGATGGAATTGCTGTCAATGGGGTTTCATTTCATATTAGCAAACCTGCGGTTAGTTGAACCATTTGTGATCTGTTTGATTTATTTTAATCAGATGGGAACAAAAATAAGGAAAAATACCACTCTGCTACTGCATTTAATGAGAGAAATGAGAGATGAGAGGTTAGCTGATTTAAGGGTCTTGCACCCAGGAAACAGGAAAGATTTTACTAAGGTGAAATGAAAACCCTTGGTGGGATAAAATGGTCTTGCTTGCTTCCATTAGCTTTCGTAGCAACCAATTCATGAATTGTAGGTTCACATTGGAATGGATGTGCTTTCAAAAGTCCATGCCAGCTCCACAAAAATAACATACAGTAAACCCAAACTTGCCTAAAAAATTTTCAGTTTTTTTCCGCAGAGCTCTCTCAGTATCCTACGTAGTTACCAATACAATTTACTACTGCATTTCTGAGCTGGCACGCAAAAGCATAAGCAACGAAACAATGTTTTTTGCTACGATGGGCAGGACAATAGAATTGATGTGTGCATTCTATGGTCATGGTCTTGAGAAACAACAAGAGAAGCCCATAATCAAGGGTGCAGAGGACTCAAGTGAGGTCCTAGGAAGTTTATAATTCTCATTGCTAACCCATTTTTGTAGATGAACTTTTAGACCCCATCCAATTGGGCTCTATTGTCTTACAGGTTTTTCAGCACCCAACTTTTCGTTCATATTTCATATGTAAGAAAGAGTGGCTTGAATATATATATATATATATATTTAAAAAAAAAAAACTAGAAGAACTCAACTTTTCATTATTTATTCCCTGTAGCTACTGACACATATCTCTATTCATTGAAGCTTTTTTTTTTTTTGTCCTTCTTCTTCCTTGCGTAGTCATATGCAAATCATACAACTTTTTAGGTTTTGCTCCCTAATATTTCCGAACCTTTGTTTTGATCAAGGTTTTTTATTTTTGGGCTTGTCAGAACCATGAGCTGGAGAATCAGGCCCAAATGAGAGTAGCCTCGTGTGCAGCTTGCAGAAGAAGGCCCAGGCACACGGGGCTAGACACGAGTGCAGGCCTGACCAAGTAGGCCTAGACAGGCTAACGTGGCCCAGGCACACGGGGCTAATATTTCCCAACTTTTATTTTGATCCAGGTTTTTATAATTTTTTTTTTCATATGATTGGCTATGAAAATTACATAAAACATATAGTTATTTTTTTAGTTTTTACGCATAATGTGAAGAAAATAAAATATATATTATATTTTTTAAGATTTTAGATTGAATATATATATCAAAGTATATTACTCTTAATATTTAAAATTTATTTTTTCAATTTATCGTTTCTTATCAAAATTCTCACAAATTTAATTTTTTGATATAATTTTATTATATAATTTTGATATATATATATATGGAATTTGAAATAAAAATTTAGAATGTGATTATTTTATAATTTTTAATATATTATTATAATTTATACAATGGATTTTTATGATTTTTAAATGAGAGTAGCTTAATTATATATATACAATCAAATTTTATCAGAACCAATTTTATAGTAATTTTTATTTTAATCTTTTGATTTCAATATATTCCAGGCAACTTAGGCGGTTATATATATATATATAATCAAATTTTATCAAAACCAATTTTGTAGTAGTTTTTATTTTAATCTTTTGATTTCAATATATTCCATGCAACTTAGGCGGTTATATAGATATATATCATTAGTTTTATTGAAAATTAACTATGTGTACACATTACATCAATATTTGTTATTTATTCTTTTTTTTTAATGTTCTAAAATCAATATTTTTCATATAAAATAATTGAAATAATTTTTTGAAAAAGCCTCCTAATTATTGAAATACAGCTTTTTATGCTAATATATATATATTAAATGATTTTGTTCAACAAATAGATTTGATTTACATTAATTACCGAAAATAAGATTTCTACATGCATTGCATTATACAAATTGTTGACTTTATACATATAATGATTGTACAACCGCAATATAACATGGATATACAACTAGTTTTTACTATAGAAAAAGTATATGATATGCACATTCGAAATATTAACCTTATGCGTGTAATGATTGCCTAACCGTAATATAAGGTAGATATCCAACTAGTTTCTACTATAGGAAAATTACATGATGTGCACGCTCGATTTGTAGTTCCTAGTTCAAAGGAAAAATCTTTGTAGTCAAGAAAGAATCAAAATGATAAATATTAGATACACTAGAGATGAGATAAGGGTTATCTTGGTTTAGTTGTTGCTTGCCTTGATAAAACTTTCATCTGTTCGTTGCGGACATGCCTGTCCTACACTTTTTTAACCCTCTCTCTCAACAATAACAAAATCCTCATACTTCCTGCTGCAAACGTATGAGAAGTGCATGCTGCCCAAAAATCCAGTTTGTTCGCAAATGAAATGAGGATCTCACTTTTATGTGCCCGAGGTGGGCACCTCCATGTGTGTCCCGTATATGCTCGTGTGGGTGAGATCACAACAACGGTCTGTGATCAGATTTCCCCACACCATTTTGCTAATCAAATGTGTTAAGGCTTGATTGTATTAGTAACCAAACTCATGGAGTTCGCCCTAGTTAGGTTAAAGTCATAAACACACACAAAGATGGAATTGCTGTCAATGGGGTTTCATTTCATATTAGCAAACCTCCGGTTAGTTGAACCATTTGTGATATGTTCGATTTATTTTAATCAGATGGGAACAAAAATAAGAAAAAAAAATGCCACTCTGCTACTGCATTTAATTCTCCCCTTTCTAAGCAGAAAAAAAGGCCAACGGAAGACAAGCAAAGAGAGATAGAGGCTGTATTTATTTAGAATAAAGCATTCATCAGAAAGCTGTAATAAATTCACATTTACTCCTCGTAACCCTTTTTATTTACACTTTATTTCTGACAATTCAAACTGCATTTTCTTTAAATTTTCTATGAATTTGCAAAGATTTGCTTGCAGATGTGATAGCAAGCATCAGCAAGCTAAGTAATGACAAATTACACAAAGCAACAGAAGTTGTTGCTCGATTACATAGTTTGCCTAAGAGGAGTGCTTGTCCGTATCAAAATTTTTTTATATAATTTTAAAGGTAAACAAATAAATCTGGAGTATTTTAATTTTTTTACATAATATGAGATATGTTATAATTTAAAAATTTTCCAAGAACATGAGATATCAATTATCATTTATTTGTTATTATTTGACGTATACACTTTTAACGAACAAGTGTTTAAAGAAAAGTATCAGAGAGTCGCTAGCACTTCTCTTTGCCTAATGCACTTTTTTTTTTTTTCCTGACAACTCAACTGCATGCATTCAACTTCTAAACTTGAATCTGTCTAGATTTGTTTGCAGATGTGATGGTAAGAACCAACAAGCAAATCATGGTCAAGTAAGAGAGAGTCAAACAAGTTTTTGCTCTATCACAGAATTTGCCTAACTGATCACAGATTTGCATCCAACCAATGTGAGTATTCCCATGCTTCCCCAATAAACCTATTGCTGTAGCAGCCGCACTTCCACCAATGACCAAAGACAACAGTGCCTGTCAATTACCATTAAAGCCACACAGAAAACATAAAATAAAATTGAATATTTGGAGGGCTATATCTACAAAAGAGTGTTAGAAAACCAAGTATACCAAATCAAGAAGGAACAAGGTGAAATAGTGGGCAGGGTTGGAGCCTTGACGACCAACAAGGACAAGAAAAAATATGGACAGGAAAGAGAAGACGCCAACAACAATACTTGCATAAGCCAAAAACCTGCAAAATAAAGGATTTTTTTTAGTGATTTTAATATAATATATTACATACAGCCAAAAAAAAAAAAAATCTCAAAAGATTTAGCAGCAGAGTGCTTGTTTATGTGTTTTTAGTTTATCTTACTTGAATTCTGGAGAGTAGCTGTATTTTGCGTCGAGTACAAATCCTCCAATGTCAATGACTTGCTTGTTGGTCATCATAAGCCATGACGAGGCCAATGCGGCTGCAATTACCACAATTCTGAGAAAAAATTGTGCTGGAACGAAAAGTTTTTGAGTTTTCAAAGGTTGGTTTTGGGAGAACTTGGCTTCAACGTTTGCCATTTTTTTTTTTAATCTTTCACGAAGAAAGTAGCTAGAAACAGGGCAAAACACAAGAGCAAAGACAGGGTGCAGAAACAGGGGACATATAAAAGAAGAGCAAATGAGAAAGGATACGGAGGAAAAGCTTGTGAAGGTTATTTATGGAAGGGAAAGTTTATGAATCTGTCAAGGAAAATAAGGATGGTAAGGATGATGTTGGTGATCTCCTGTTCAATAGCAGAAACGAATGGAGTCTTTTCCATTTACAACACACAATGTAAAGATTTGTTGCTAAATGCTTGCAATGTTTAGAAAACGTGAGTTAGATGTTGATATTAATTTTGTGTATGTGGTGAAAATCTAGGCTGTTAATTTTTGACTTTATCATGATTTGGATCAGAATTAGGCTCATCATTCGGATTGGTTTAGACCGAGTTAAGGGGGCCTTAAAAACGAAAACAACTTTTATTATTAAAATGAATGCTCTAAGTCTGCAACCAATAGTCCTGACTCTGTTGAATAATACAAATTCCAAATCAAAGATGCAAACAAGATTAATTAATGGTATATGTCATCAGCTTCCATTGTCAGTGCTATTAGCAAAGCATAGTTAAGTGCTTTCCTCAAACCAATGGCTGCAATAAGTCACATAAGGCAATGTTATTGGGCACAACATGTGAATATCTTAAAAAGTTCAATAAGCTTGCATTTTTCTTTATATATATATATTGGGGTACATAATTGTTGTAGAATTTTGTTAATGATGCAAAATTGACTAGATTCATCTCATAATATTTTGTAATTGCCATCATTCATTATTTATGAATGTATTTTAATAAGATTCATTTAATAAAATACTTGTACACGAATTCAATACACAAAACGCATTGACGTGAATTCGTTCAATAATACATTTTTTTTTTTTTTGCATTAATGATATATTGAGTTTGATATTGAATACAATTGACTGGTACTCCAATAATTTCCTCATAATATATCAGAATTACTAATAGGATAAATAGCTCAATTTATCTTTATATAATTCTTTAATTTTTTTTTATGCTCTTAAATTTTTAATTATATTCCATCTGTATTTGAAAATTTTTGAAATATTTTTTTTATCATTCTGATTAATTTTTTTTAACTGAATTGTCTTTACTAAAATGCATATAAAGAATTTAAAACTACAACATAAAGGTCATGTGATTTTATTTTTGAAGAGGAGAGATAATTTTGCCCATCAAACATGTAAAGATTTGACTACCTTCCCCACAAGACGGAGAAAAACCATCAATCTGGCAAGTACAACAACATTCATAGATAAGATCTTGCTTATTGAACAAGAAGTATTTTTTATTATGTTCATGCCCTAAAAAGAGTTTATCTTATGAACAAGAACAAGAAAAGCAAACAGAAGCTCACAAACCTAATTTCTTTCTATAAGCCATATATATTGTAATCAGTTCACATACTAGTTTATAATTTATCATCAAATTTTCAAGGGGTTTTTTTTTTTTTTTTTTTTTTTTTTTAACTATAAAATTTTAGTATGCACATGTAAAGAAAGAAAAATACTATTTGGAATTTAGTATTTTGAATATGGCCCACTAGATATCAGTCTCTTATTAGAGGACATTTGCAGCGTGGTATTTCTCAGAATATGTAACAGCCAAATTTCTTTTTCTTTTTTGTTTTTTTTAGAGCTTAGCCTCTTCTTTTAATTAAAAATAAAAATAAAAATAAGATGCTGCATTTAATTCTCCCTTTTCTAAGCAGGAAAAATGGCAAAGAGAGAAAGTAGAGAGAGAAGTTGGCTTTTATTAGAACAGATACACATCCACTAGAAAGTTTACATTCAATCATGTAACCCTTTTTATCCCACTCCATTTCTGACAACTCGAACTGCAACTTTTCAATTTTCTGAACCTGAATTTGCCAAGATTTGCTTGCAGATGGGATAGTAAGCATCGGCAGGCAAAGTAATGACAAATAACACAAAGGAACAGAAGCTGTTGCTCTTTACATAATTTGCCTGATACACATTTTATTTCTGACAACGCAACTGCATTCATCCAACTTCTAAACTTGAATTGTTCTCGATTTGCTTGCAGAAGTGATGGTAAGAATCAACAAGCAAACCAAGGACAAGTAAGAGAAAGTCACGGAAGTTGTTGCTCTATTACAGAATTTGCCAAAGTTATCGCAGATTTGCATCCACCCAGTGTGGCTATTCCCGTATTTTCCCAAGAAACCTATTGCAGTAGCAGCAGCACATCCACCAATGACCACAGACATCAGTGCCTGTTAGTTAATTACCATAAAAAACACAGACAAAATCAAATAAAAATGAATATTTTGAGGACTAGATGCTATACAAGATGCTAAAAAAGAGTGTTAGGAAACCAGGTTTACCAAATCAAGAAGGAACAAGATGAAATAGTGGGTGGGATTGGAGCCTTGACGAACAACAAGGAAAAGAAACAGTATGGACAGGAGAGAGAAGACAGCGACAAAAATATTTGCGTAAGCAAGAAACCTGAAAAATAAATAGAGCAAAAGGATCAAGAAAAAAGAAAAAGCTTAAAAGATTTAGCAGCAGGGTGCTTGTTTATGTGTTTTTAGTTTATCTTACTTGAATTCGGGAGAGTAGCTATATCTTGCGTCGAGTACCAACCCTCCAATGTCAATGGCTTGCTTGTTGGTGATCAGAAGCCCTGATGAGACCAACGAGGCTGCAATTGCCACAATTCTAAAGAAAATTTGTGCTCCAATGAAAAGTTTTTGAGTTTTCAAAGGTTGGTTTTGGGAGAACTTGCCTTCAGGGTTTGCCATTCTTGAGATATTTCAAAGAGAAAGTAGCTGGAAACAGGGCAAAACACAAAAGCAAAGACAGAGTACAGAAACAGGGGAGATATAGAAGGAAAGCAAATGAGAAATGATAGGGAGGTAAAGATTGTGAGGATACTGAGGCTATTTATAGAAGAGAAAGCCGAGGAATCTTTCTCATATCTAAATTATTGATATGAGAAAGACATTGTTTATTATGCATGCTACATAATCAATCCGTTCTTAAAAAATTGTCATACTTTTTATTATTATTTGATTCAAATATAATTGTTCAAGTTACCCATTATTCTACAATAAGATAATTGTTCGTGCATATACTGTTGTTACTAGCACAAAATAATAATAATAATAAAATCCAGACAATTAATAAAATAAATTCATTATAAATTAAGATGAATAAGAAATTGAAACTTTTTTCCTTAATCTTCAAAGAATTTGAGATTAAAATCACATTACTATGTTTTATGGTATAAAGATAATTGAATCAACAAAATAGTCCTACCAAAATTTTAAGCAATTGACTTGAGGCATAACCATATTGCTTTCTTAAAACGATACGTCATTTGTAAATTTATTTGTTATAACGGATCAAAAATATATTACACGTCATCTTAGTGATACAACAAGTTTAGCCACCTTGTCATATTTTAAAAAATTTACACTATTTATAAGACTTAAAAATATAAAAATAATAGCACTAATCTTATCCAAAGATAAATAAATAAGTATTATATGACTCTATAGTGGGAGATTAAAAAAAGAAAATTGAAAGAAATATTTTTCTTTTCAAAAGAATGTTGCTATTCTTCTCTCCCTCTCTCTCTCTCTCTCTATATATATATATATAAAATGTTATTTGCACTAGAATAAAAAAGAATAAAAAAAAACATATAGCAACATATATATATATATATATAACATAAAGGAAAGGTCTTATATAGAGATTATAGGAATAGAACTATTTGGAAAATGAATACAGCTATTCAAAGTTTTTAAAACCAAACGTTATAGATTTTTTTTTAATAACAACAAATGGTAAAATTATGTACTAATGTCCATTGAATGTCCAAAACCTCATAATTGAATAAAATATAATAAAACTTTCAACGTTTTTCAAAATGGTAACATATACTTTAATTATTTTTGTTAGCCATTAGTTTAACTTTTAATATTTTATGAAAAAATATACCAACAATCCTCCACTTGTTTTTTTTTTTAATAAAATACTAACCATATTTTTGGATAAAAAAATGAATATAATATATAATAAGGGTGTCAATGACTTGACCCTTACCAATGGCTTGAACCCTTAGTATTTCAACAATATCTCTCTTAAGCAAATAATGAACATTGTCTTGAACTAAGACTTTTTAAGTGAAACAAATATTGTATCATACATATCATATTTAAGTACTTTTGTGAAGAGTTTCGAGCCGACACATTAACGATCTTGTGCTTGATCTTGGCTTTTATGAGTGTTTCAAAGAATTAGTCCGATTCTCATAGGAAGTGACCCCACTTTCTCACTCATATAGGTGTGTCTATCAAGGATGCTCCCATAGCTCTAACATTCCATTTAAAAAAGAACTATAGATCACATTAGAAGTTTCATTTAAAGAAACTTGACATCTCTTTCATTATAAGATTCATGCACTATAGTATAGGGATAAACATATGAGTATTGTAACTCAAATAAATTTACATGTAATCAAACCACTCTATGATTGTTTTTCTCCTTGAACCTAGTTCTTGGGATCTGCAGTCTCTAGATAGAGTACTTACATAGGTGATTTTATTAATTTATGGGCTTAGTCTTATCCCTCTCTATTTATAATCTAATCATTTGACTTTAGCTAAAGATTTACTCATAATATTTAATATACGCCCAAATGATTAGGAAACTAGCACTTAATCAATTTATTAGCGTTAAAACAAGTGGTAGGAATTTTTCATCGCTACTATTTTTTCTTTAGACAAAGCATAACATCTACTTGCTTCTTCATTGGCTTGACCTTTTAGCCAATTTAAATTTCACTATACATACATGGACCAATAGTAATCATACTTTTATTTATTTCTCGTGTATCATCATCATGTTAAAGCATGATGACATTATTATATCTCTTCTAATACAATGAAAAACATTTAACATAATCACATTAAGGTGAATAAGGATATTTTTTGATCTCTAGTTTCTCATACAAATATGACATTATTGTATATCATCTATACAATAGGAATGTCAATATTTAACTAGAGATTTAAATTTCTCAATTATCACCAATTATCTTATTAGACAATATTATTACAACACCAATGTATCTTAATTATACAATAGGAGTATTTCTAATTTTACTTATCGGGTAATATCATCAAAACACCATTGTGCCTCAATTGTGCGGTTAAAGTGCCATTAATTCCATTAATTGTCTCAATATTTTTGCCAAATATTCCATAAGCATCATTATACCTTTTGTATAATAGGAATGTTTTTACCAAATATATCATAAGAACCATTATACATTTTGTATAATAGGTATGCTTTTATAAGTATTTCCAATAGCATCATATTAAAAATTTACATGTAGCAAAAAATTCAAATATCACAAGAAAAATTATGATAATTTATCATCATGAGAAAATTATGATAACTTATCTTGAATTACATAATAATTTTCTCAAATAAAATTTTAATACAATAGCATTTTTTATGCCCCCACTATTCACATAATAAATAATTTTCTCGCTACCATTGTAGACAAAGTGATGACATGAATTATTCTATTATTTCATCATTAACATTCACAAATTATTTCTTGTGGCCTACCAATCAATAAGATATACTTTTTTTTTAAAAAAAAGATAATATATCAAATTTTATTTTCAACATAGAAAATAATATATGAAAAAAAATCCTTTATTAAATCATGAACCTTTATTTTACTAATAATCTGCTAACAAGATTAATACGTTCACGATTGTTTATATTGCACAATTTGGTAAGGGTGTCAAACAATTTCAATATGAGTCACATAAAAATAATTGACATTCAAAAGACAATTGATCTTAATTAAATTAATATGTGACCTTTTCAAGTTTTAATAAAAAAATTATGTGAATAAATATTAATTTACAAGCGTTTAATAACAATTTTTTTTTAATTTTGAATCATGATTTATAGATTAAAAAAAGTATGGACCAATAACTATTCATACAAGAGTCTAATTAAAATCACTTGCAAATATAAGTATCTCATACTTTCATCAAAAGTAAATTTCCAATATATAGAGTAATAATAATAAAAAAAACTTCAATAATTTGACTTTAGAATACTTGACTTTTTATAAGTACCATTGGAGACTTGAAATACTTTTTATTGACCAAACTTCCATTGCCTCCAAATGCCACATCATTTTGGTTTTCATGATTTTGCATCCAATATAATCAGTATATCCATATAAAAATTTTGGATATATTTTCATTATTGGCTTCTCGATTATCTCGGTAACATGACATCAACAAATAATTTCAATTTCAATTATAATTTATCAATATAAATAAATTTATAAATCAATTGTCATTTTATTTATATTTATTTCAACAATAAAATTTAAACAAATAAATCAACAACATGGTTAATATCATAGATATTAACTTTCAACAATATCAACATTCTTAACTTTTATTAATAATATTTAATAAATAATCGTAAGTTACAAAATACATTACGGACCAATATGTAAATAATCTCATAAATATGCACATAAAATATATTAGCAAAAAATAATATTTATTTTTCATCAAACATGATCTTGGTATCTCATTAGCCACATGGTAGTGATAATTTCATTATTATTATTATTATTATTATTATTTCAACGACAACGCAATCATATGAATAGAGGACTAACATAGAAATAAGTTTATTGTCTTTAGAGCTCAATAAAATAAAAAATTAACAACATATGTATATTATCACATATAAAGAATTATCAATTCACCCATAATAACATATGATCTGGATGTAAGACTAAAACAAGACAATAAGCAATTTTTTTTTTCACATGGCTAATTAACATCTACAAATTTATTTTCAACTAATGAAATTTGCTAGATATATACAACCAACTAAGATGTCAAAAAAATAATATATATATATATATATATATATATATATATATATAGCATCATTAAACACCAATAAAAAAACCACAATAGATAAGTAATGACATTGATATTATAAAAAACATAATATTAAAATTTTATGCCTAATATTTTGATTATTTTAAGCATTAAATCATGAAGTGAATTCAAGAAGTGAATTCATCTCAAATTGTTGTTCTTAGCACACAAAAGGAACATAATTAAATAATAAAATTTATACAATTAATAAAATAAATTCATTATAAATTAAGATGAATAAAAAATTAGAACTTTTTAACTTAATCTTTAAAGAATTCGGGATTAAAATCTTGTTACTATGTTTTATAGTATAAAGATGATTGAACCAACAAAATAGTTGTATCGGAATTTTAGGTAACTAACTTGAGGGACAACTAGATTGCTTTATTGAGACGATACACGTTATCCATAGATTTATCTAATACAACGGATCAAGAATCTATTGTATACCATCTTAGGGATACAATGAGCTCATGCTCCTTATCGTGTTTTAACAAATTTGTGCTATTTGTAATATTTGAAACTCTAAAAATAATAGTACTACTCTTACCCAAAGATAAAGCAAATAAGTATTATATGGCTTTATAATGGGAGATTAAAAAATAATAAAATTGAAAGAAATATTTTTCTTTCTAAAAGAATGTTGTTATTCTTTTCTCCAAACAAGTGAATACGAATATTGCTAAATGTTTTTTTTTTCTTTTTTATTCTAGTACAAATAACATAAGGGAAAGGTCCTATATATAGACTATAGTAATAAAACCATTTGGAAAATAAATGTAGTTATTCAAAGCTTTTAAAAC